TTTGAATATTTAAAGGACAGAAAAAATCATCTTTCTCTATAACATGATTGCAGAATTCTTTGAGGAACATTTATCCAAATAAAAGTGTTGTCAGAATAGATGAATGTTGGCTGTATTTAAATGACTGCAATAAAAAGTAATCTATTTATTATCATCAAAGAGGAGAAAAAAAATCTTAAAACATGGTTCAAAGATCTAAAGGCCCACCAGCGACCGAGCGGTAAAGTCGCTAAACACTGGTAGTTCGGTCCAAAGTTCGAATCCCATGAACGGGCTGCTGCATGTGCGTTTTCGTGGTTTCCCCATATGTAACGTGTATACGAGCCAGTTCTCCTTAGAAAGTCCTCCACAAAAGCACCCCTTCCCTTAGGCAGATAGCCCTAATGTGCTTTGCCATAATTAAATACACCACACCAAAGATCTAAAGAAAGCTTTTCAAAGAGATTTATGATTGTCGCTGGATTTTTCATATAACTGTAAATTAAAAATAAAGAAAGAGGAGAAAAACTTTAATATTATCAGAACTCTGCATATTATCAAAAACATATTTTATACCCAATTTTCAAATATCTTCTCTTTACACCCAGTGGCATCATTCAGTAGAACTGCATCGAGACAAGGCAAGCAGCCATATGTCAAAATCCATTGTTAATTTCTCAAAAAGAATGGAACAAGTAACGAGTATCAAAGCCATATCCTTCACTCATATCCCTACTAAATCTCTTGATGTATCACAATGGATTTTTATGCTTTTGGACTTAACAAAAAGTGGATTGTCCAAATGTCGATCTATAACTCTCCTTGGACTTTGGAAAGCTATTCAAGAGGAATGGGATAAAGTACCTCTTCCGATCCTACAAAATGCCCTACAAATATCTTAGAAATTATGGTGTTGAAGCATATGGAAGAATTAGGGTTATCAAACAGAACACTTAAAAGGCTAAAATTTTAGGTAAAATATTTCTGTAAATGCAATGAAAATCATCTAAAACATGTGCGAACAGAATCTGTATAGGAACTGGGAAACCGCATTAAACATTATATTTCGTTATTTGACAAAAATTACAATTTTTTTTTACTTTGACGTTGCCAAAACATAAATATTCTGTCATTTAACCACTTCCGTAACTGGAAGTATATGACTATGATTAATGATTGCAAAAGTAATGAAGTATAAGCATATATATATGTATAAGTTGTTAAACTTAGTACCACTTAAACAAAAGTATATAGTATATAAAGAGAGAAATTTAGAACTGATATTTCACGAAGGCCAAAAACTGAAATTCATAATTAATAAATTTCAAATATTGCAAAAAAGAATTTTAAAATGTTAAAACCAAAATATTTAAAATAAGCAAAATCCCGATCCAAAAAAATTTAAAGAAAAATGAACAAAAAGAGAAGAGGAATTCAATCAACTTCAATGCTACTTCATCGGGGGGGGGACATTGAAATCAATTGAAATCTCTCTTCTACAAAAATCCTTGCTTTTCTGTATCCAGAATTAGCTGATAAAATATTTCTATATAGATAGATAGATAGTAAGTCGTCTGATGTATCAACCCATGGGGTTTTGTGCTGCGAATTTTCCAAATGTCGACCTAAAACTGTGCTTGGACTTCTTGGTAGCTTCTTGGACTGCTTTTCAAGAAAGTTATTCGAGAGGAATGGGATAAAATACCTCTTCTGATGCTACAAAAATCTTTATTGTTTTCTAAATTACAATGTAGAAATATAGTAAAGAATGAAGACTCGTTTCCACTGCTGCGTGTGCATTGCGGTGTTTATGCGTTTCTCCAATCAGCGAGCAAATTCACTTCTGCAATCCGGTCGATGTGCGGTGACGGATGACGTACGGATGGAGTTCAACAATGTTCAACTTCTATCCGTATGTCTGCAGATGCGTTAGGGTCACATGGTAAAAAAGGTGCAAACAGGTGTTGTCACCAAAAATTAATGGCGGCAGAAGTAGCGATGAACGCTCGCTTAGAAAAGAATGTTTTGCGAAAAAATAGTTATTTCTGAATTAATATTATAGCAAGAAATCTGCGTGCTAAAAAAGACAGCAATCAGCTGAATTTAGTTAAAAATAAGAAAAATAAAATAACTGCAACTACAGTACTTGGTCGCATAGAAAATCAGGCGTTCAAGAAAATCAGCGGCAAAAATTATAATTCCAAGTCCATGAAATAGCAAAATTTGTCCTGACAATTAATTCCTAGTTCTGCATACTAATTTACCTTTAATGAAAATGAATATCTGATTATATCAAACTGCTATAGCAAATTAGATATGATTAAAATATTTGTTATTTTTTTCTTTTGAAACAGGTAAAAACTAATAACGTTAATTATAAATTAAATTTGATAGCCTTTTAAATATTCCACTGCATTAAAGAGTATGTTAAATTTGTATTTCCCTTTATAAATATATCTTTTTGACTAACATATATTTGTAAGCACATGAAATGTATTTTTAGCAGCCCGTTTAACTTCAATCGGAACGCCACTTTAAAAGATAATGTTTTTTGTAAAAAATGTACTAGAAGCTGAAGATCAAACTCTGGTGAATTTTTCAAACAATAGCACACTGAAATAAGACCAAAAAATTTAGTTTTAAGAATTGATTTACTTGATAATGTATGTATTATATTTACTTGATAATGTACGTATATAAAGCCAAAATATGCATATGACTCCCGTGTGATACTAGCTTAGTGGTAAAGCTGACGGTAATAATGTTTACTTTTGGGGGTCGTGAGTTCGAATCCCATACACTTTTTGCACCCTGTCTGCAACTTTCTCAGTTTTTGTTCCAATTTGATCTATATTCATGTTTTATAATTTATTTCTATTATTATATGCGTTAAATATATTGTTTTATTTATGCTCTTATTTATTTAAATTTCCCCCCCCCCTGCAAAAAAGTTTGAAAATTATATAATACTAATTTAAAGCATACCCTGTACATATATATTTGAATTTAACAAACATTCTCTATTCGAAAAAGGAAAATTTAAAGTTAATTAAATTTAAATGAAATTTAATGCAAATATAAATGATTAATTATTGCTTCGAACTAATCTACAATATCATTTAAATTCTGAGAGCATATGTAAATCAAGTGCAAGTATCAAAATCCATGAATAAGTATATAATTCCGAAAATTTATTAATCCTAAAAAATTTATAAAAATGCATAAAGTGAATAATGGGATAGATTATTAATCCTAAAAAATTATAAAAATGCATAAGTGAATAATAGAAAAGATTATTAATCCAAAAAAAATTATAAAAATGCATAAATGAATAATAGGATAGATTATTAATCCTAAAAAGTTTATAAAAATGCATAAGTGAATAGTAGGGTATATTATTAATCCTAAAAAAATTATAAAAATGCATAAGTAAATAATAGGATAGCTTATTAAACCTAAAAAAAATTATAAAAATGCATAAGTGAATAATAGGAGAAATAAATTTTTGGAATTATATATTTATTCATGGATTTTGATACTTGCACTTGATTTACATATGCTCTCAGAATTTAAATGATATTGTAGATTAGTTCGCAGTAATAATTAATCATTTATTTGTTTGCATTAAATTTCATTTAAATTTAATTAACTTTAAATTGCTTTTTACGAATAGAAAATGTTTGTTAAATTCAAATTTCATTCCTTGCAGCAATGGTGCAAGAGAATTATTTAAATTTAATTTATTTTGAAACCCTGTAGATATATATATATATATATATACATGTGCTCAGACTTTGGGATGTTTACGACTCTAAACTTTCATTACCAATTAACATAAGACAGTATTAATGCTCTAAACATTTTTTAACAAAAAATTACTATAATAATTGCTTTTAAATTCAGTCCTCTCCAGCAGAAGCGCAGGAATTAAATTAATTAAATATTTCCATTTTCTTTACCTAATGTGTGTACATATAAAGAGAAAAATCTTATTTTTATAACTTCTTCTATAAAAAGAGATATGGATTAAAAATGTTTAAGTTAAAAATATAATATTTTATGGATTATGCATAAAATATAACTGCCCATAGTGCATTTTAAAACAACGAGATTTCTAATAAATTATCCAGCTATGACCCTGAAGTCAGCGGTATACAAGCATAGCAAATTTTGTGTAAATATTGGGAACTTTTCTTTACAGTTGCTCTGTATTTTTAAAGTGCCAACTATTTTTTTAATTCCTTTAACTTTTTTATTTATTTATTTGTTTGTTTATTTTTCACTAACAGTACCTTTTAGTTTTAACAATATATATATATTTCATTAATATTTAAGGCTTCTAGAAACGCAAAAATTTTTTTTAAAATTTACTTCAGCTTCTATGGAATTAGTGATGTTCATAATATGCATTATAATCTTACTTATCTAAAAATTGCTAGCGTACTTTACTTTCGTAGTTCATAAGCAGAAATAAAAATTTCCAATACACATGGAATTTAGTAAACAAAAAACTTTCTGCATTTTACGTTAGGATCCATATCAAATCCAAAACAAACAATACTCGCTTAAGCAGGAAAAATTCAGATGTTCAGCGTCGTAACTCGCGAACTGCTTGTTTGGCGCTAAAATATTACAGTGACACCTAGCGGCAGAAAATGAAAATATTCTACGGATACGCAGCAGTGGAAACGCTTGTACGGATGCCGTAGGCGTGTCTTGACGCAACGCGTTCGTACGCAGTAGTGGAAACGAGGCTTTAAGGTTATCAAGTAGGACATTTAAAACACAAAACTTTTAGGTGAACTATTTCACCAAATACAGTGAATATTGTTTCAAAAATGTGGAAACAGTCTTTGTATTCAATTTTTAGCCTGAATATAATCCAGAAATTAAAGAAAACATGTTATTATTATTTGAAGAATAATTTGTCAACTAAAATACATTTTGTTAAGATTCTTTTTATGATTGATTTGCATAGTGCTGTGTTATATTATGATTTCTAAGCTTTAATGCTTTTGCAGAGATATTAATGTATTATTACTTGGAGACCCATCTGTAGCCAAATCACAGTTATTGAGATATGTCTTGCATACTGCTCCTAGAGCTATTCCCACTACTGGTAGAGGATCATCTGGTGTTGGTTTGACAGCAGCAGTTACCACTGATCAAGAAACAGGTGTGTAGTTTTAAAGTGAGAATTTTTGAAAAGGGAAAAAAGAATACTTGAAATACAATTTCATATTTATGTTTAATTTTCAAGTAATTTTAGTACGGTTTTGCTTTCTTCTTTAAATAGAATGACATCTGAAGTTACAAAACATTGGTAGAGTGCCAAGACTCTATTTTCAGTGATTAAACAAACTTAACTGTATATACAGATTAAAAATAAAGAAAGGGGAGAAAATCTTTTAAGATCAACTCCACATATTATCAGAAACATATTTTATACCTAATTTAGTCTTTACATCACTTTAAGAGCCTAAGAGTAATTTTTCTAGAAGATTCTAGCTGTTCTCCTCTTTCTGTTTATTATATGAAGCTTTAACAAGCTGAAAAGTCAGTTGAATGTTATGAGGATGTTAATTTTGTGCATGATAAGATTTTAGTCTTTATTCTGCAAGTGATTTTACATTTACCCTGCACTTTTAGAATTGAATTGATTATATTTATGCCTTAGTTAAAAAGGATTTATAACATAATATTTTGCTCCTCTTTGAACTACTTTTAACTGATTATCATCATTTGTAAAATGTATGATTGCCTGAAGTTCAAATAGTTTTCTTCTTCATCTTTACTTTTATTCAGGAGATTTTGACAGACAGTGCATATGCCAACATTTTATCCATTTATAGGTATATAAAAGCCATCATTATTGTAAAAGTGTAACATGCAAAAACTAAGACAATACACTAGTACAATATGTATAAGTGGTGTTCTCTGCATGTATTGCATGAGAAATGGCAAACTAATGTGACAGTCTTCTGTGTATGAAATAAACAGGGTTCATATACTCCTTAAAAGTACTTAATTTTGGCCGAAATCGGCAGAAGGTCCTTAATTTTAATCATCTGAACTTTCTTTTTTACAACTGCCATTTTGAGTGTGAGCTAGTATTTTGGAGAAATATTTCTAGTCATTCATGGACAAACCTGGTTATCTTTTGAATGGGTTCATAGGTTGTAATTTGTGTCTATTTCTAATATAAACGGTAGGATACTTGAGTTTCTGGGCAAGAAGTGAAACAAAAGCATTTCATAATTATGTCATGAGCTCTTAAACAACTTTTCACTTTTGGGGATGTAAATTCCTTTATTAAATGGTTCTAAATTTGGTGATTTATCAACATTTTCGGCAATTTTAAGATCAGTTGCGACAGAAAATTTTTAATTCAGACATCTGGGAATTTATTGATGAACCCCCTTTTTTTCCTTTTTTTAAATTATAAAATTGATAAATTTTATTAAAATAATGGTAATATATTGAATTTATATTTAAAAAATGACATTAAAATAAAACATTTTTATTTTTCCATGCCATGTTATGAAGTGACATTACTTTCTATTTTGGCAACTTATTATACAATATTTTGTATCCGAGAAATAAGGTAATAAATGCCATAAAACGCAGTTTATGAATCAATTCTTAGCAAAAGCAAAATTACCTTTGCGATTAATTAAAAATGTCTTCTTTTTACCTTTTCATGGTAAGAGTTTTCCCCAAGCTCAGAATATGCATAAATGTTTTCTGTAGAATTAATTTTACACTTTTCCTCCTCTGATTATATTTTTTATTTCCAAAATATTTCTGGCTTTTTTGCTGTTGCAGAATTGGGGGTAATTTTTCTTCAGGATTTTAGACATTGCAACTTATAAAGTTTAGAAAAATTTGAAGGCAAGATTTATAAATCCATGATTCTAGAAGATTCCAGGAAAATGTGACAAAATGAAAAATGTCTTCGTGGTATTCACACTTAGGATGTATTTTGTAGAAAGTTTGTGATGAATTTTTTTACTTTATTATTGTAATGAATATTGGGAAGAATAATGCAAACATAATATTTGAATTTTTTGTTTCTGATATTAGACATCTTTTTCTTAAAATGTTTATCTTCTCTTTATTTTACTTTTCACTATGCACAAGCATGAAAAATATCAAAAATACTTCTGATCTTATCACAATGGAGAGGCATTTATAGAAAAGAATTTTTCAATTAATAAAGAAATTAAACACTATCAATTTAAAAGATTCGTCTTATATTTCTCACTGCATCATATCAGTGCTAGTGCTAGGCATTTTTCTCACCTAAAACAATCTCTATGGATCCTAAATTTTGCTGCTTGGTGCCATCCTAACTTCTACTCTCAGTGCCTGTACTAAATTTTAAAAGTTTTGTCATTCCTGGATTTTGTTGCTCAGTATGTCTATAATTTCTAAAAATTCCGCTACATTGGCTCTGTAACCAGCCCTTACCATGTATCATTTCATGTTTATTCTAAATGTTCATATTACTAAAGAAATAAAGTTAGTACCTTTCCGTATACATTCTAAATGCATTTAGTTTTTTAGAATAACAGAAATCTTTATTTAAACCCAAACATTCTAAAATGAAGCGGAAATGTTTGGAAGGACGAAATTGAATACATAAAGAGAAAGAAACTTATTCTTCAATGATACAGTTATTATTATGTAACCAGTTATTTATAATTTGAGCCTGTGCTATCACTTCTCCTTTCCATTTATTTTTCAGAATGCCAATCAGTTAGTATTTAAACTGAGATTTTTGGATTGTAAGACAGAGTATGCTTCTGTTCTCCGCTTACATGGTGTGCTAGTTTGTGCTAGCTCTGATAATTTGTTATTATTTGTCTGTATTATCACTGTGGACATATGAATTTGTTACAATAATAGAATTACTGAGTCAGCTTAGATTAATATTAAATTATGTAGTCTTTAACTGCTTGTCTACATTTTTAGTTTGAATTTGACTGTTCCTGTTTAATTACATCACCATGAGCTGTAGTTGATTTTTTTAGTATAAGAATGTGCCTTTATGTTTCAAGTTTATTTTAAATAAGAGGTTTATTTAAACGTTTATCTGACTGTATAGTTACTTTCAGACATAGCAATAATTTACTTCACATCTTTTGGGGGGTATATTTTTAAGAAATCAACAAGTTAAGAGATAACACACGGAAACTAGTGGGAACTTTGTGTATTGAAAGAAATTTCTAATTGATGGAAAAAATGCTTAAAGATGTAAATTAGCCAAAGTCACTAATCATAAATAAAATGTCACTAATCTTCTTTAAATAATATGTCCAACTATTATATGCATAAAATATGTAATGATAATAAATATTTTACACATATAATAGTTGATAATACTAGATACTTTTGGCAGTTCTTGATAAATTTACAATTACATGATAAATTTTATGAAGTTGATTTTATTCTCAAATTTGTTTTATAATTGTGTTTAATAATAATGTATCCTACTGATGGATCTATTTTATTCTTAGGATGGTAGTAAATTTTGAAGTTAAAGTATAGATGATATGTTTAGTTAAATTTCTTTCAGTTCTCATTTGCTGATAGCTTCTTAATTGTTTTCATTAATGGTCCTAAAAAGTACTTAATTTCCATGTACAGAAATGTGTATGAACCCTGCTAAAGTAGGAAACTCTAAATTTCCATCAAAAACTATTATTTTTATTATAATTAGTGATAAAAATATTACATTACGGAATATTGTAAAGGACTGTAAAAGAAATTTTTCAGTTTGCATAATTTATTCTTTAAAGTATTAGTCAATAGTTTCAGTTTTAGTATGTGAAAACTTTGACTGTGTGTTGCCGTGATCAATAAGGGGGTTAGAAGAGTGAGCTGCCATAATCACTGAGTCTGGGTTTGAAACACAGAGATGCATAAATATTTGTAAATCTATAGTATATTTGAATCGTGGAACCACTTAAAATCAGTCAAGCCAAAAGTCCCCATGAGTGTTTGGTAGTAAGGAAAGAGGTATACAAAACCCTTGGATTTTTGTTGCTCATGGTATTCTGTATTAAAACTGCGGAGGCTGTTTCTTGTATGGTGTCAAAAACGTGAACCAGCAGCAAGTGTCACTCTTCCTTTTCGCCATGATGAATTTGTAGATCAGCTCTTCAGCTCTGAGATCTGATCTAAGATCAGGAGAATAAGAAGCAACAGTTTAAATCATACGATATGAAATCATTATTGAAAACAATCATTAAATGTTCATTCTTAAAATGTAATATGATGAATATTTTTATTTTAACATCATAATCTCATAAAACTACTCCTAAACTAAGTTTTCTCTCCTTATAATAAAATTGTGTTTTAATTGTAAAATTTATATTTTATTATCTGTTAACATTTTTATTTCATATTATCAATTACAGGTGATCGAAGACTAGAAGCTGGTGCTATGGTGTTGGCCGATCGTGGTGTTGTGTGCATTGATGAATTTGACAAAATGTCGGATATCGATCGTACAGCTATTCATGAGGTTATGGAACAGGGTCGAGTCACAATAGCTAAAGCTGGCATTCAAGCAAAGCTTAATGCTCGTTGTAGTGTCCTAGCAGCTGCTAACCCGGTATATGGAAAGGTATTATTCTTTGTAAAATTTATCTCCGATTTAATGAATTTGATTAAAATTGTATATTATTTTATAGTATTTTAATGCAAACATATGAAGTGTTTAATTTTATTTTATAGTATGATCAGTACAAGACACCCATGGAAAATATTGGCCTGCAGGATTCTCTATTGTCTCGATTTGATTTGCTTTTCATTATGCTAGATAAGGTTTTTTTTTTTTTTTTTTTTTTTTTTTTTTCATGTTAATTGCTATTTAATTGAGACAGTCTGGGTATCGATGAAATTCACATTGCTTTTATTTTTATTAATTAGATGGATCCAGAAAGTGATCGTGAGATTGCTGATCATGTTGTAAGAATGCATCGTTACAGAAAGCCTGGGGAAATGGATGGCGAACGTATGTCAGATATGTACTATATTATTTTGAAATTGAAGTGTAAAGTGATCATTCTTAAAAAAATCTCTTTCACTTGTCAACATTCAATACGCAATTTTTTTTTTCCATTCAAATTTAACTGAAGTTAAAAAATAATTTTAACCCTCTGAGTGCATGACTGGCTTTATTTGGTCATGAGATTTTTTTGTCACTTGGAGTATATTAGCTTATTACTTAAGATATTTTGCTTACTTACTTTCTTTAATAATATAAATGTGATCTTAATAAATGTAAGTTTATTAAAATAGTGACTACAATAAGTAAGTGTACTAGCTAATAAAGGCTATTTGAATACAGGTCTTCATGACAGATTCAAAAACCCACACCACTCAGATGGTTAAAAAACTTTCTTTTTTAAGAAAATATAAGAAATGTCTTTCTAAAATTTTCTTTTCAGCTATAAAAATTTGCATGGACATTGAAAAAATTGACAGCAGTAAAATGTAATTAGAACTTTTCAAACGTAACATGTATGTAAAAAAAAAAAAAAAAAAAAGAATATTTTAGTATTTAATTTTTTATTTCATAAAAGTGTAAAAAATTTCATTGCTTTATTGGATAGGATACTTTTAGCATTCACTATTGAATTGACTTTTAGAGGAACTGAAATTTATAGTATTTTGTTACTTTTGTTCGTTATTAAGAAACATTTATATGTAACATGATCTTTTTTATGTTAGTAGTAAATGGCAGCATATAGCAATTTTGTGTGTAGCAAAAGGCAGATTTACAAAGCATCTAAAAGTAGACTTCGGATTATTGTACAGATATTCCTTGTTAGTTTGACTGGTTAGATGCCAGGCTACTATCAAAAACTAAAAATCTTTGAAATACTTGAAGTGCTTTTTAATCAGAAATGTATTTTAGCTTCTGAAACATTTAAGTGTGTTATACTATGTGCCATTTTCAAGTATACATTAAAAATAAACACATTGCACAAAAGTACTAGATAATGAATCAGTATTTTGCTGTTAAGTATATAAAGCAAGCTGAAAGAGTGGACTTTTATTTCAAAAAGTTTTGTTAGAAAAGGAAAGATTAAAAATAGTTAATTGTTGAAACTGAAATAAGGGTATAATCTTTTATAGAAGTACTTAGGTATGTCACAATCTGTTTATTAATCAATAACTTATGTTATGACCATTATATTTATGTTTGCTTTACACAGGGTTCGTACGGTCCTTAAAAGGCTTTAGATTTTTTGGAATTGATTTTTGGTCCTTAATTTTGGCCAAAATTAGCAGAAGGTCCTTAATTTTAATCATCTGAAATTTCTCTCTGTTTTTACGACTGTTATTTTGAGTGTGAATTAGCATTTTGAGGAATATTTTTGGCAATTTACTGCCATATATATGGTTATCTTTTGAATGGGTTCATGAGTTCTAATTTGTTTCTATTTCTAATATAAATGATGGGATACTGAGTTTCTAAGCAAGAAGTGAAACATAAGCATTTTGAAATTCATTTTTTCTAGTAAAGAGCTCTTAAACAACTTTTCGCTTTTGGGGATGCGAATTCTTTTATTAAGCGGTTCTAAATTTGGCGACTTTTCAACATTTTGGCGATTTTAACATTAGTTTCTATAGAAATATTTTAATTCCAAAATATGAGAATTTTCGACGATTTTTTTTAAAACATCGTAACATTGATTATTTTCATTAAAATAATGGTAATATATTGAAATTATACTTGGAAAATAACATTAAAGTAAAACATTCTTATTTTTCGCTGTCATATTATAAAGTTTCACTTTGGCAATTTATACAATATTTTAAATCTGAAAAATAAACAAGGTATAATGCTATAAAGCACAATTTATGAAACAGCTCTTACCAAAAGCAAAATTAGCTATGTAATTAATTAAAAATGTATTTTTTTAATAGTTTTCAAAGTAAGAGTTTTTCCCATGTAATTGTCTCAGTCAGAATATTCAAAATTCTCAAAATATACATGAGTTTTCCTTATAAAATTAATTTTACACTTTTTCCCTCCTTTTTTATTTCCAAAATATTTCTGGCTTTTTGTTGTTACAGAATTGGTAGGGATAATTTTTCTTTAGGATTTTAGACATTACAGCTTGCAAAGTTTAGAAGGATTTGAAGGCAAGATTTATAGACCCACGATTCTAGAAGATTCGAGAAATATGTGACAAAATGAAAAATGTCTCCATGGTATCAACACGTAATGGATGTATTTTACAGAAAGTTTGCAATGAATTTCTTAAGTTTTGGAGAACATCTGGAAGAACAATGAAAACATAATATTTGAATGTATTACTTCTGATACTAGAATCTTAACATGTTTATCATCTCTTTATTTTCTCTATTTTACAGAAAGTTTGCAATGAATTTCTTAAGTTTTGGAGAACATCTGGAAGAACAATGAAAACATAATATTTGAATGTATTACTTCTGATACTAGAATCTTAACATGTTTATCATCTCTTTATTTTCTCTACTTTTCGCTAGACAGAAGCATGGAAAATGTCAAAAATGCTTCTGATTTTATCACATGGGCTGGCATTATAGAAAGGGATTTTTTTATTAATAAAGAAATTGAAAACTTACAATTTAAAAGATTCATCTAACATTTCTTAATGCATCATACACATAGCTGGCACTAGGCATTTTCCCACCTGATGCAATCTCTGTGGATCCTAAATTCTGTTGCCTACTGCCTTTCTAAATTCTGCTTCCAATGCTTGCTCTAAATTCTAAAAGTTTTGCCATTTCTAGATTTTGTTGTTTGGTGTGTCACTAAATTCTAGAAATTCTGCTACATCAGCTCTGTGACTGGCCTTTACTATATATATTTCATATTGTTTCTGAATGTTCATATAACTAAAGAAATAAAATTAGCCGATTTTTCTGTACATTCTAAATGCATTTACTGTTTTTTCGAGTAACAAATACTTAATTAAATCCAACAATTCTAAAATGAAAAGGAAATGTGTTGAAAAAAGAAACTGAATAGGTAAAGGAAATTATTCTTCAAAGATATGTGCAGTTATTATTATGTAAATTACCCAATTGTTTATGATTTCAACCTTTACTATAATTTCCCATTTCTATTTCCTCATATGATAGAGTTATTGAGCCAGATTAAATTAAATTTAAATTGTATAATCTTTTACCACTAGTCCACATTATTAGTTTGAATTTGACTGTTCTTGTTTAATTACATCACCGTGAGCTGTAATTGATTTTGTTACCATCAGAACATGGCTTTATGTTTGTTCTAAGTTCTTTTAAATAAGAGGCTTATTTAAACCTTTGTCTGATATTGTAGTTAATTTCAGACATAGTGGTAATATGCTTCATATCTGTTGAGGGTTTTAGACTATTTAACTTTTATCCGATCAATTAAACCCTCATAGGTACGTTATGGAAAAGTTGACAAGTTAGGTGAAGCACGCAGAAACTAGCGAGAGCATTGGTTTGCATGGAGAGACAAATCTCTAATTATTAGAAAAGATGCTTAAAAGAAAAGGAAATCGATATAAACGTTACAAAACATAAATGTTTTGTAGGTTTTAATGTGTAATTATCTTGATATCGTTTAAAAAGCTGTGTCATAAATTACATGTATTTTAAACTTTGAAATTTTATTAGATTTTGATTTTAATAGGGCTTTTTTTGAAGTATTGTTAAAAAATAAAATTTAATAGTGGTCATGTAAATCCATAATGACTAAGGTTATCAAACTACCTAATTTAATTATTTATAACTAACTGCTTACCCTTAAAATTTATCTCTACATATTAAATATAGTTATTGCCTTTCATTAATACTCACTGTGGTCACAAGATAAAATATAAAAATGTAAAAATTTAAGTAAAACATATTCTAATGCATCTACTGAGACTTAAAATAATGCAAAACAACATATCACATCTGGTGCTTTAATGGCCTTAAAGTATATTAACTGGGTTACAACCCCTGGAACTGTACATGAAGCTACGACACTAAATGCATCAAACAAAGCCTGACTAACTTTCAACACTTCCCTACGTTCTAATCAGCAGGTCTCTCTCTAGACAAGCAGCAGCGGTGACAACATTCAGTCTTTTGTTATGAATCATGCTGATTATGATCTTACTTCTTATTTTAACCTATAAGTTTGACATAAAATTCTACCTGCTTATTTACTAAACCTCTAGACCAGGGATGTCAAACTCATAGATACACTTGGGCCAAACAAGCAAGGTTTAGCTTTAGGCGGGCCGCAAAAAAAAAAAAAAAAATCAATATTCATAGAAGCGTAGATTTATTTCGAATAATACAATAATAAACATATATATATAGAAAGAACAAAAGAAAAATTTAATGTTTACGTCCTGATACTTGACATCTCTTCTCTGCTATTATCTTTCCTATTTTGGGAGAAATTTTGTTTGCAGTGATAACTTTCAACGCTGACCCAAGGTGAGCATCATTAATATAGTTTCTAATGGGAGACTTATTACCTTTCATGACTGAAAATAACTGCTCGCACCAATAAGTGCTACCAAACATGGAAATAATTTCATATGCGAATTTTCGAGTATTTTCAAACCTGGCTGGTAAATATTTGTAAAATTCAGGCACGCCTACTTCAATGAATTTTGCTTTCAAATTTGAGTTGCATTCAATTTCGATCACCTCCGTTTGCATATGGCTGGGTACTGAGTCAATACTTATTGAGAAAATCGAAGAAAACAAAAAAAAAAAAAAAAAAAAAAAAAAATTTGTCTTCGAGAGAACTAAAATCATTAAACCTCGTTTCAAATTCAGTTGTTAAATTTGCAATTTTTTCTGCATATTTTTGATACGAACAAGTATCACCTAAACTTGATTTGTTCGTGCTGCACGTCGGGAAGTGCGTCAAATCTTCATTTTTAAGTTGTTTTTCCCAAAGAACTAGTTGACATTTGAATGCTTTAATTATGTCAAACATGTTCGTAATGATATGATCTTTTCCTT